AAGCACTGCATTAAATTACATTTCCCCCGCCATATCTTTATTATATGAGCATTTATTTTACCCCAGTATATTCAATAGAGCTTCTGCGTTAGCCTGCCGATTCTGACGGGCGCGTGCGAGTGAACAGCTTTTTGTCTCGTTTTACGCTTGAGCAACCAAATAAATGCTAAAGTTTATTTAACTGAATGTATTTTAATGACATTACAACATCTATGCTGTATAAGGAACCGTATAAAATGGAAAAAAAGTTCACAATAACAGGTCACCGGAAGTGTATCAGCATGGGAACAGCACTAGCTCGGCATATACCCTATTTCAGTGTGTAAAGGACAAGAGCGCATGTCACGAAATACAGGGAGACCCAATTGCAAGTAAAAGATATTTATTGACTCAGACAGAATAACAGAAGGATGAACGCAGGCAGATGAATTGTGAGTCAAGCGAGCAGCAGGAAATGTAATAATCGAACAGGGAGCACTGTAGAGCAAGATCAGAGAGCCGTCAACAGATAAGGTACAAGAGTCCAAACACAGAGCTCTCCCCGCGACACACGACCAGAACTCAGCGACCGGAACCTGACAGGACACAGACAAACAGACGTGAAGATGACGAACTGACACTGTGAGACAGAAACGCTGAACATATATAGGCGCGGTAATGCGCTGCACCTGTGGTCCGCTGATTACAGCTGAGCGGTGCTGCGCACGGCAAGGCTGGTGACAGCCTACACGTGACCACCCAGCTGATAAAGTAAACACAACTGACAGCAACGCGACTCTAACACAGACACCCAAACACACACACACTCATACACGCATATATGCATAACGCACCACACCGCACACACACACATACACACACGCAGACACATCATAGAAGAACAGACAGATCCACAATCGTGACAGCGCAACCCTGACCTGAACAACCATGATCTGCAATTCCTCAGACGGCGCTGCATCAAGATTCCTAATTCATCTATAATCCAGATCATCACACGTGTCAGGACTACTGCGGCAAACCTTTATCAAGTACCACACTATGTAGTTACGTCCACAAATGCCAGTTTAAACTGTACTGTGCCAAAATGAAGCCCTATGTTAACAGTGTCCAGTAGCGCCGTTGACTTCTCTGTGCTCTGAGGCATCTGGCATAGACCATCACAGAGTGCAAGTGTGTACTGGGGTCAGATGAATCAGTTTTCCAGTAATTTTTGGAAGAAATGGACGCAGTGTGCTCTGGACCAAAGAAGAAAAGGATCATCCAGACTGTTACCAGCAACAAGTCCAATTCAATTCAATTCAGCTTTATTTGTATAGCGCTTTTACAATGTAGATTGTGTCAAAGCAGCTTCACATAAATGGTCATAGTAACTGGATCAGGGTAGTTCAGTTTTTAATGTTTAAGTTCAGTTCAGTTTAGCTCAGTTCAGTTTGGTTTGAAGTCATTACTGAGAGTTCAAACACTGAAGAGCTAATTCATCGATGAGTAGCTTTTCATATCCTGAAACATGCGAGGCAGTGGCGACAGCGGAGAGGGAAAAAAAATTCACCAATAGGAGAGTGAAGAAAAAAAACCTTGAGAGAACCAGACTCAGTTGGGCACGACCATTTTAATTTCTCCGCTGGCCAAAAGTTTTGTACAGAGCTTCAGTCACCGTGGTGGAGGCTGGAAGATGGCCTCAGCGAAGACTCGTCTGTCCCTGGAGCATCACTGGAATCAGTCTCATGCTCTCCACTCCCCATGACCACCAGCGCAGCAGCAGCTCAGGATACGGCCTGGTCCCGGATATGGACACCTTGGGATCATCTCGTCGCTGGTCTTGGATCCAATCAGTGACTCCGCATAATCTGAGGACCTCGGGATGAGTATCCCCAGGTGGAAATGGAGAATAAAGAGAATAATTAGCGTAGCTGCTGTTCATAGTGTATGTAAGCAAGATGCAGAAGCCTGTGTGGAACCCGCTAGGTGATGCATTGAGTGTATGCTTTACTAAACAGATAGGTCTTTAATCTAGTTTTGAACTGGGAGAGTGTGTCTGAGCCTCGGACGTTATCAGGAAGGCTATTCCAGAGTGTAGGAGCCATAAAGGAGAAGGCTCGACCTCCTTTACTCGACTTTGCTAATCTAGGTACTACCAGAAGCCCTGAATTTTGAGATCTTAAAGAGCGAGCTGGATTGTAGCGAGACAGAAGGTTGGTTAGATAAACAGGAGCTCGATTATTTAGAGCTTTATATATATTCATAGCAACAAGTCCAAAAGCCAGAGTCTGTCATGGTAACTTGCACTTCTGTGTTGCACCATTAATGCTGAAAAGTACATTGAGATTTTGTAGCACATTATGCTGCTGCCTTTTCCAGGGAAGCGCCCATGCATATTTCAACAAGACAATGCTAAACCACATTCAGCACACATTACAAAGTCCTGCTGCGAAGGAAGAGGATGCAGTACTTGACTGGCCTGCCTGCAGTCCTGACCTGTCTCCAATAGAGAATGTGTGGCGCATTTTAAAGCACAAAATGCGACAACGAAGACTCCGTACTGTTGCCCACTTTAAGACTTGTTTGCAGGGAGAATGGGACTCATGTACACCCTGAAACACTTCATCACTTGGTATCTTAAGTCCCTAAATGTCTTTTAAGTGTTGTGAAAAGCAATGGCAACAATACAGAGTGGTAAATGTTTTACTATTTTTTATTTGTTGCAAGAACCAAAATTGGAATATGTATTATTATGAAAACAACAATAAAAATGATGAGGAACACATTAAATAATGTTTGTTGTTTTGTCTGCAATGAATACGAGTCGAAGTCAATTCAGAAATCACTGCTTTCTTTATTTATTTGTGTTTTCCATACTGTCCCAACTTTTCTGATTTGGGGTTGTATTATCTGTCTTGATTGTCAAATTTTAGGCATCAAGCTTTTATTGTTATGTGAAGAACAGACTTGTGCTTATTGGTGTGTAGTGTGTGTAGGTGATAAAGGTGTGTGTGTGTGTGATGTGCAGGTGATGTTCTTCAATCCTGTGATCGAGCGAGGGCCACGTTTACAGCGCCAGAGGAAGGTGTTTTCTAAACAACAGGGTAAAACCACACTCATCACACACACACATACACCCACTAGCCCCTTTCACACAGTGATACCGGTAAATATCTGGAAAATTTCCGGAAAGACTTTACCGGTATATTGAAAAAAGCGCTGTTCACACAGGCGAGGACGTTACGGAAATTTTCCGGAAAAGAGCATTCACACATCCATTCCAAAATACCGGTAAATTCTGACATCATTCACCACAAATGAGCTTTAAACGGCTGCGCTTGTGTTTGTAAACATTTGACTAAATTACAAACTCTGTGCATGATCAATATTGTGAACAACTTTCTCAGGATCACTTTCGCATGTCGAGATGTTCATAATATGTGCGTGTGCAGGCGCTCACAGGCTGTTTCACAGGCACACGCAGAGCTTGAAGGTAAACAAACAACGGCTTATCATAAGCATCTCATCGATGATTATTTACACAGTTGGCATTAAGAAGAACATATAAACGTGATCTGACTAACTTCTAGCAGCTAAATGTGTCTGGAAAAATATTCAAAGGCTTTTATTCTCACAAACCGCGCGGACGTAAACGCGTCTGACTGTTGTGATTGGCTAAGGCAGACGTCTCACGTCAGCACGTTCTAGACGTGCACGCGCTTATTACGGTAATCTTCCTCCTGCATTCACACAGCGCAGCATTCCGGCAAATTACCGGTAATGTTACAACTTCTCTTTCCGGAAAATAGCCAGAACGAATTTACCGGTATTTTCAAAAAGGGCCTGTTTACACATACAACCAATACAAAATTGCCGGCAATTTTCCGGAAAGGTCTGTATGTGTGAAAGGGGCTACTGACTGCATTCTGGGGACGAAAAACTGCTGATTTAATCACAGAAATTTAAGGAAAATAATATGAAAAACTGCCAAAAAAAAAACAGTACTCCTAGTTTTATAGTCTGCTATTTTTGTAGGGTGGTTTTAATACTGCAAGTAATTGTTTTACTTGTTATTTTTAATTATTTAAACTCGTTTGTAATTTAAATTAATATATATTATAATTAATATATTTTTCCTCAAGTATTCCATTAACCCACAAAAAACAGAGTCATACACAATATAGCAGACTATTGTAAACTGTTTTTTAGTGTTTCATTTAAATTGTGTAATGTTTGTCGTGTGTGTGTGTGTGTGTGTGTGTGTGTGTGTGTGTGTGTGTGTGTGTGTGTGTGTGTTTGCTCAGGTAAAGCGTTTCTGCGTGCTAAACAGATGAATGTGGACATGGCGACATGGGTCCGTCTGCTGAAGAACGCCATTACCATCCCGACACACAACTACACACAGCACAGCCACACACACCACAGCAGGTAACACACACAACTACTCACAGCACAGCCACACACACCACTGCACGTAACACACACACTCCATCATCCTGGTGTGTGTCTGTGTTTTCAGCAGTGAGATCTCCATCCAGAAGATCCAGCTTGATGGAGAATCTCCTCCATCTGTGACGAGGAGAAACACACACACGTCAGCCACGGTAAACACACACACACACACACACACTTGATGAATAATAATGATTTCTCTGATTAATAATGTTGATCTGTCAGGTGGACTTCGGCCGGGCGGCTGAACCCGTCTCTCCTCCTGGTCCCGCGCCTCCGGAGAGGGTCGTCCGGAGCATTTCGCATCTTTCCCAGCGCAGGTACACTCCTGCTGACGCACAATATGTTTAGTTGTTTGTGCCAAGACACAGGATGAAACACACACACACACTCACACACACACATTCTCATGTACATGGTGTTTCTGGCCTCACGTTGACTTTCATGTTCAGTGTCAATTTTTACATCCGGACCTTTTGTGTATGTGTATGTTTTTTTGGTTTATTTGTGTGTGTGTGTGTGTGTGTGTGTGTGTGCGCATCTGTGTGTGTGTATGTTTTTTTTTATTTATTTGTGTGTGTGTATGTGTGTGTGTGTGTGCGTCTGCGTGTGTGTATGTTTTTTTT